CTCGACTGCGGACAGCGGGATCGCTTACGGGAAGGCCGAGTCCGGTGGGCATTGGGCAACACGCGGAAGAAACGTGGTACAAAGGTGGTGTTGGTGTATCTTAGCGATTGTTGCATTACTCGTAACTGGCAAAGCTACGAGCAAGTTACACAAGTAGTTCCGAAAGAGCGCTAATGAAGTCTCTTACCGTGTTATCCCAAATTTGACGGCAGAGTCTTACCATGGAAATAACGCGGTGTTTCCTGCCTCTGAGCTGTTCACCTTCACACCACGTTTGAGGAGGAGCAGGGAAAGGCATGCTCTTTCAGGCATAAAAGCTTACCTGAAATACTTTATGTCTGAGCACGTTGTGTCTTTAACACCGGTTGTGTGTAACCAGCAAAGGTTGGAAATAGATGATGCATTTTCTGGAGACCCTAAAGTTCCTTTTGCACATGTTAGATACTTTGAGCGTCTGTGCTTCCTTCTGAACATGTTAGATGGAACAGCCCTGGAATTTGGACTCATAATCCTAATCTACTGTGGGATTGGGGTTTTTTTTGGGGGGGAAGCACAGGAAGTATTTTTCTAGTAGATTTTTATTACTCGCTCTGAGTGACAGATGATTGGAAATAGAGGCTTAGAAAGACAAAGTGCAGGTACATGAAAAGGGCCAATTTAGCACATCGTTGTTGAGCTGATTTTGTGTTTCCAGGAGTGAGGAAATACGCTCAGTGTTCTTCATGATCTCATAAGGTATAAATAGGAGGTGGTAAGCACCATGTGATAAGCTGCATTTTTAGTAAAAATCCCTGCCTGCCTCGTATGCACTGACGGCTGATCTGTTCCCCTGGAACCATCTCCAACATTCCAGTCCCTTGAGCAGCTCCCAGCAGCTGCTTTCTCTTTTTGAAAGCACTTGCCAGATAAATGTTTCATTCTTTTTTTTTTTTTTTCAATTACACCGGTGTTCAGCGGAGGACGGACGGTTTTGCTTGGCAAGGGTTCAGGAGGATCCACATAACTCACTTGTGGCTTCTGCGATTGGAAGTAGTTTGTGCTGATAAAGCTGCACCATCGTCTGTCCTGTTTCTTTTATTGCATGGTGGGGCATGACATCCACCAGGTCTTTCTGCAGCTCCTGTCCGAGTCTGTCCCTATTTGGTTTTTTTGGTCCTCAATTTGCTGGGTAACTTTTGGCTCAAATTAATCATCGAAGAGATAACAAATACAGAGTCCTTCCCTACCCTTCCTTTTCTTCTGCCACCCTACTCCATGTGCTTTCTGCATTTTTACAGCTTCAGCCGTGGAATGGAAAACTCAAGAATTTACCCACGGGAATCTGCTTGGCATTTGGCTTTTTCTCACCTGCGGGCAGTGGCCACTGGGACTGCAGGATAGAAAAGACACAAACCCACTTGAACAGTAAAGCGCATGGCCCACGAACACTCCTCTCTCTTGTGATCCATTTGACTTTAATTCCCAAAGCGATACGTTTCCCCGCCTTGCCCAGCTAACCGTGCTGCTTTCCGCGAACGGGCTCCTTGCGGCCCCGTGTTCCTCCGTGCCTTCTCTCGGGCCCTGCCATCGCGGATCCCTCCCGTTGCCCCGCCTGACCGCGTTGTCCCACACCCCGGCGCCTGAGAGAGCAGGCACAGCTTCACCCCAGGGAGCAGAGAAGGCTGCAGGGAAGGGGTATGCAGGCAGCTCAGATTCACGTGCTCCACTCGGTACAGCTATGATATCTGTATGTGTGTATATATATATATAAAAAAATCAATATATATTGATATATGCAGCTATAATATCAAAGGGATATTAGGGAGTTAGCCCAGCAGGGTCCTCATTCATGCAGACAGCTCTGGAGATCTAGGCTTTCATTTAAAACAGTGGTGCTTTACTTGGAAAAAACTAGGCATGGATGGCCTCAGCCTCTGTCGTCTGTTGCAGGGGCTGCAGGCTGGTGCGGTTTGGGGTGT